GAGGGTGGGGGATGGGTATTGAGGAGGGCACCTTTTGGGATGAGCACTGGGTGTTGTATGGAAACCAATTTGACAATAAACATCATATATTGAAAAAAATAAAAATAAATAAATAAAATGTCATGTCCTTTGCCAATTGTAAGTTTTCATTCTCCTTTACCAATTTGAAATACTTGTCTATCTTTGTCTTCTGTTATTGCTGCGTTTACCACGTTCAGTACTATCTTGAACAAAAGTGGTGAAACTGGGTATTTGTGTTTCTCTCCTGATCTTACAGGAAAGGTTTTCACTTTTTCACCATTGAATATGATTTTAGCATGTTTTCCCCATATTTGAGCCTTTAAGGTTGAGATATGTTCTTTCAAAAACCTCTTTCTGAGCCTTATTATAATGAATGAATGTTTTAGTTTGTCAAATGCTTTCTGTGCACCTACAGGGAGGATCCTATGGTTTTTACCCTTCATCGTTTTGATGGCATTTGTCAAGTAGTTTTAATTGTGAATTTTCAACCACCCATGCATCACTACAAAAAATGACAGTGGAGGATGGATAATGATTTCTAAAACTTAATATTGAATATTGTTTGGTAAAATTTGTTGAGGAATTTCTGCATCTATATTCATCAGAGTCATTGGCCTGTAGTTTTTGTTATTTTGTATTTTAGTGTCTTTGTCTGGTTTTAGATATCTGCGTAGTACTGGCCTTTATAATCGATTTGAAAGTTTTTTTTTATCTTCTATTTTGTTTTGGTTACTTTGAGAATAGTTGTTAATGCGTCTTTAAATAGTTGATAGAATTCACCTGTGAAGCCATTGGATTGTGGATTTGATTTGATTTGTGGGCGTGTGTTTTGGTAACTGATTCAATTTCATTATAATAGCATGTTCAAACTGCCTTTTTCCAGGAATTTATCTGTTCCTTCTGATTTGTTGAGTTGTTACCATGTAATGTCTTTCTATATTATTTTATAATTCTTATCATTTCTGTGTTTCTTCTGTTAGTTTACTTTATTTCTGATTTTATATATTTGAGTCTTCTCAAATAAATGTTTTGAGACTGGCTGTAGTTTTTCATTTATGATTGATTTTTCAAATAACAACCTCTTGATTTAAATTATATTATTTTATTTTAGTGTTTTAGAAGGTTGATTTTTTTAAATTTGAAAAACAGGAAATGCTGAGTCTGTTATTTATGGCCTGGTACCTGCTTAGGTAGCAAGGGTTGTAGATGGAGAGACCACTCTTCATTGTCATGGTGAAATAAATCTTACTTTTTTTAATTTTTTTTTCAACGTTTATTTATTTTTGGGACAGAGAGAGACAGAGCATGAACGGGGGAGGGGCAGAGAGAGAGGGAGACACAGAATCGGAAACAGGCTCCAGGCTCTGAGCCATCAGCCCAGAGCCCGACGCGGGGCTCGAACTCACGGACCGCGAGATCGTGACCTGGATGAAGTCGGTCGCTTAACCAACTGCGCCACCCAGGCGCCCCAGTATTTTTCCATATCATTTTATTGAATATACTTTACTATATCTTTTTAGGACATGGCTTGTGATATATGTCGTATATCTTTAAATGATTCAAATATACACTTCTTAAATAATTACACCTTTATATTAGTGGCCAACATGCTAATGTTTTAGTGAGACTCGACTGTGATCCCCCAGATTTGTATATAATTGTGCCTTTAAGCAAATATCATCCTAGTCCTTAGGGTGAGAGCAGACCCCAAGTGTTCTGTGGGTACAGATATATGTTTGTAGCAACTATTAGTTTTTTGTTTGTTTCTTTGTTTATGATATTGAAGATAAATTTTCTTTAGATAATAAAAGGTAATAAAATTTTGGAAAAATAGTCACAGACATTTAATCAAATGCACAATCACTTCATAAAAAACACATATATCAGGTGATTAAGAGCAATGTTTTACTTCAGCAAAGACATTCTGAGTTTCAGTCAAGAACACTTACTCTCAAAATTTCTTCATTGAAGACAAAACGTAGCACTCTTTCCTTTCAAGAGAAGAATAAATATAAGTACTACCGCTAAATATTTCAAGCCTTGGATCACATTAATTGGGTAAAATAATGACTGCATACAGGGCAAATAACATGAGAAAATAATTGCAAAACTGTTCATTGACATCTTACAAATATTTTGATATTGGAAATGTTCTGATGAGGCATGAATATAAACATTTTTATGGGACCATTTTTGAAATTGTTTATTTATTTTGAGGGGGTGGGATCTGCAGAGAGAGAGATAGAGAGAAAATAGTAGCTTCTGAGCTGTCAGTGCAGAGGTTGACACAGGGATCAATTTTATGACAATGAGATCATGAATTGAGCTGAAGTCAATAGTCAAACCCTTAACTGATTCAGATACCCAGGCTCCCCTATTGAAGAATTTTTAATGGAATGAGAGTATATCCTTTTATTAAATAAAATTCCCAGAATAGATATCCATATAAGCATTTTGACACAAATTTGTGGATGTCATAAATTGGAAAATTGTGTGTTGTCTTCTTGTCCTCTTGAAAATTTAGAGCTGGCATTCAGCAATTTCTTACTGATATAAAAAGAGATTATAGAAGGAATCATTGTGAATGAAAAAAAAGTAATGATCCATGTTCATGTTGAATAAATTTAGTTAATATGATTTGTAATAAAATAATATTTCTATCCCCTGGGATGCCTATATCCAAATCCTCATATCCCTGATATAAATACATTAGGTTGTGTGACAATGAGAATTAATGTCATAGATAGAAGGATTAGTAAGTATGCGATTTTAAGTTGAGATTATGCTGAGTTATCAGAATAAGCCAAATGTAATCACAATGGTATCTAAATGTGGAAGTACGAAGAGAAATTGTGAAAGTTTCATGGTATGTGAAGGAAAACTCACCTGGGCATTATATTTTTGCAATTATTTGTTTGGTAATTCTTTCCCTGTTAGTATAAAATGTATATCACTTCAACTATACAAACACCTATGCACACTTTATATAGATATTGGCATTCTTAATGCTAGATATGAGACAGTATAAGGCAGAACAGGAAAGCAAAACTTTCTAAAAAAGAGTATAGGGAACGGTACATTATCCTGGCATGAAGAGTATAGGGAATGTGTACATTATCCTTGCATGAATATCTATATGATATCTCTCTCTCCTTCCCATATTTCCTTCTCTCTTTCTCACTATTTAGATAATACATATATTATAGATGACAGATACATAGATAGATAGATACTAGATAGATATGAATGTGTATAATATATGCCTACACTTAGAATTGGTATACAAAAACTTTTGATACTGTATTTCTAAGACTTTCATGACATAGGTTTAATGATTAATTGGGTGAAATAAAAATTGTGTTGTGTTGATGGTTTTGATCACAAAGTGAATGGCATTGATGATGTAAGGTCTAATTCTTTTTTTTTTTTTTTAATTTTTTTTCAACGTTTATTTATTTTTGGGACAGAGAGAGACAGAGCATGAACGGGGGAGGGGCAGAGAGGGAGACACAGAATCGGAAACAGGCTCCAGACTCTGAGCCATCAGCCCAGAGCCTGACGCGGGGCTTGAACTCACGGACTGCGAGATCGTGACCTGGCTGAAGTCGGACGCTTAACCGACTGCGCCACCCAGGCGCCCCAAGGTCTAATTCTTTAAGATACAAAAAAGTATATATTTTCTTGGCCACTGTGATGATGACATCTTCCATTTATATGACTATTAAGATAGGATGATTTTTACAAGTTGGTATTGTAATTTTTGTCACCACCTTCTTCCTTCTCTTCCATATCTTCACACTCCTTCTGGATTACAGGCCAAACTCTTCTGACATGATCATCTGTCTCTTGGCCCTTGTCCACATAATGAAACTCTTCACTGAACTGTTTCTGTTGTCTACAGACCTGTTTGACGTTCTGAACTTCCTGAATGATTTCAAAAGTAAGGCTTTATTCTTCATGATCACAGTGCCACGAAGAATCTCCGTGAGCAACACCTGCCTCCTTACCATCCTCCAGGCCATCATCATCAGTCCCAGCACCTTCTGGTTGGCCAGGTTTAAACATAAGTGCACAAAGTACATCTTCTGTGCTTTTATCATCTTATGGTTTCTTAGTTTGTCTCTAAATAGTAACTGCCTCTTGTATACTGCTGTTCCTTCTAATGTGACCCAGAGCAATCTACAGCATGTCAGTAAATACTGCTCATTTTCTCACATAAACGCCATCATCAGGAAAGAGTTTTTCACTTTTTTTTTTTTTTTTTTTTTTTTTTTTTTTTTTTTTTTTTTATCCAGAGATGTTTCCTTTATAGGAGTCATGCTGCTCTCAAGTGCATACATGGTCATTCTCTTGTCCAGGCCTCAGAGGCAGTGTCAGAACCTTCACAACACCAGCCTGTCTTCAAGAGTCTCCTCAGAGACAAGGGCTACCAAGACCATCCTGTTGTTGGTGACTTGCTATGTCATTTACTGGGTGGATGTCATCATCTCCTCCTCAAGTCTGTTATGGACATATGACCCTGTCATCCTGGATTTCCAGAAGCTTGTGCCCAATGTATATGCCGCTGTCAGTGCATTGATAATAACAGGTTCTGATAAAAAAAAAAAAAAGTAAAAAATGTGTTTCAAAAGTGTTGGAAAATTATAATCAAGTTATAACTGCTTATTCATGAAATAGTTATTGAAAAATGATTATTTGTATTTTATTCAAATGATAGAGTATTTATATAACATTTAAAATTTGGTTTTAATTTAAATGTAATTTAAAAGTATATTTTACTTTTTCTAAATATTTTTGAAACCTGTGATGGCAAGGACAGTCCAGTTGCTAGTTTAGTAGCAAGAAAGATTCGATATTCCCATGTGTTTACAAGTTCCTTTATCTTTCACTTTATTTCTCAAACTCCCTTAAGGAAAATTTTCTCTTTATACAGGAAAATTGTACCCTAAGCACTACTATTATACTTTAGTGCAATGTTAGTGTTCCCTATTGATAATGCAGTATTCTTAAATTCAATTACACTTCTTACTTCAAGACATTTAGCTACACAACTAATTTTAATTGAGCAACAGTTTCTCTCTGCACTTTCTACTTATTTCTCTGTGTTTTCTGAGTTCTGGCTTCTGTTAAGGTGGCACAGATTGTACTCTCACCTCTGTAGTTTTTTCTATTTTATTTCTCTCATTTTATTACACGGCATTTCTGTTTTGTAACATCATGTCTAGGTTTAAAATTAGAAATTTATTTATTTTTACTTTTTAACTTAATTTAATTTTTGAGTGACAGAGAACATGGGGCGGGGTGGGGCGGGCAGAGAGTAGGGAGAGAGCATCCCAAGCAGGCTCCATATTGTCAACGCAGATCATCATGCAGGGCTTGAACCCTTGAATTGTGAGATTCTGATCTGAGTTGAAATCAAGAGTCAGACACTTAACCAACTGAGCCATCCAGGCGCCCCTGAAATTAGAACTGTATTAATCATCATTTATTTAATTTTACTTGATTATTTTGTATACTCTAGTGAAACTATTAAATGTTTGTTAATTCTTCCCATTCTGATCTTCATTTATCTGTTGTGACAATTGTATTCTCTCTCTTTTTTTTAATTTTTTTTTTTACTGTTTATTTATTATTGAGAGCGAGGGAGAGAGAGTGAGCACAAGCAGGGGAGGGGCAAGAGAGAAAAAGAGACAGAGACAGAGAATCTGAAGCACGCTTCACACTGTCAGCACAAAGCCTGATGTGGGGCTCAAACCTATGAGCCCAAGATCATGACCTGAGCTGAAGTTAGATGTTCAACCAACTGAGCCACCCAGGCGCCCCAATAATTGTATTCTCTATAAATGAGCTTACTTTAATGTCCTTGGCTGCAATATTTTTGCTCAATATTCTAGTTTATTATTTTTCAAGTCACCTCAGACTAATGTAATATTTAACAAAAATATTGTGTACTAAATTGTGTCATTTTATTTTTCAAGATGTAATTATATTAGGTTCCTTTTTAATATATTTGACTATTGTATAGTTTCTTACTCTTTCCACATTACTTTGATTTCCTATTTTTCCTGCCTTTACTTAACTATTTTAAACATATTGCCAATATCTTTATTGTGCGACATGTAATTTCTTCTCCCTTTTACTCAATACCTTATTCAATGGTGTCTTTCACCCTTTCTAATTCCCTTATAAAATTTGGGACATATCAAAGTGGGTATCCAGTCACTTTGTTTCCTTTTTGTACCAATCATCCTGAGGGCAAGTTAGAGTACCAGACAGGTTTGAACTCCTTGTGGTCAGCCAGGATCTGGATGAAGAGTTGTCTTTTTATTTTGATTAATACTTTTGACATATAGATGACTTTGTCTATAGACAGACACATGAAAAGATGCTCAACATCACTGATAACCAAGGGAATATGAACAAAACCAAAAGAATTCCCATGTCCCAGTAGTCAGAATGACTAAAATCAACAACACAAGAAACATCATATGTTGGTGAGGATATGAAGGATGAGGAACCGTTTTGCCCTATTGGTGGGAATAGAAATTGGTGTAGCACATTTGAAAATAGTACAGAGGTCTCTCAAAAAGTAAATATATAAAACTGCCCTATACCCAGCAATTGAACTACTGGGTATTTACCCAAAGGGTAAACAAATGCTGATACAAAGGGGTGCATGTACCTCAATATTTATAAGTACCCCAATGTTAATAACACAGTCATCTACAAATACCTGAATTATGAAATCAGCCAAGATATCCACTGATTATAAACATACACACACAAAAAAATACCCCCCCCCACACACACTGGAATATTACTCAGACATAAGATCAACAAAATCTTGCCATTTGTAAGCCATAGATGGAGCAAGAGTTTATTATGCTTAGCAAAATAACTCATAGAAAGGCATATACCACATGATTTCACTCATATGGGGAATTTAAGAAACAAACCAAATGAACAAAGAAAGAAAAAGAGGGGAACCAAGAAACAGATTCTTACCTACAAGAGAACTCACAGATAGTTATCAGAGGGGAGGTGGGGAGGATGGGTTAAATGGATGATGGGATCAAGGAGTGCACTTGTCATTAGCTGTAGGTTATATATGTAGTTGTGAAATCATCATACTTAAACCTGAAATTATAGTACACAGTAAGTTAATTAACTGGAATTAAAATAAAATATTAAAATAAGTTACATGGTGATTAATGAAACAATTTTAGCTGTAGTGGACAATTTCTGCCACAAGCACAGAATGCTGTTAAGGTAACTTCCCTTTAATGTCACTGAAGTATGTAACAGAATTCACTTTGCAGTGAACTGTCAAAAAAAAGGTCCTTGCTATATGCTTTGAAACAGTTATGGGTTTTAAAAAGATATGTATCAATGACCAATCTTGCTATTGATCAATTAATAAAGCAATATATTTTAATTCTACTAGTAAAACATCAACACATACAGTAACACTAGTAACACACCAACACATACATGACACATAAACATGAAAAAGAAAACACAAAACCATAAAAAAGCAAATAAATTTAGCATGTTATAAAATGGAGTGTTCCTTGAATAAAGCATAACACTAACTTAGATAGGTTTTGTAGGATTTCATGTCTACCCACCATAGACAGACACATTATAGAACTGTCATGATTCTGTTATGTTTTGATGACCATCAGAAAGGGGTTCTTCTGTGTCTTCTGTGCCACCAGTGGTTCCTTATGTATCTGGTCAACATCAAATTCCCTACTTAGAGCATGTCAGACTCAACTGAATTATAAATACAAAATGCCTAGTACCCACCAGCGTTCTGAAGCCAATTGTTCACAATGGACCATTGGTAACGTTACGATACTCAACAATGTGGCTATTTCATTTCAATTTGCAACCATTCAAATAAAAGGGATTTTTATTTTCAAAACACTTCAAAATTTTGTCATAAGGATTCCAATGCCTACATATCCATATAATTCAAATAACAGTTTCATGTAAAAGAGATGTCAGTTTCTTTGCATATAATCCTATGTTGTTGTCAATGCTAAGCACCCATGGATCGTCATTTAAGTAAACGATGATGAGGTTTTCCACCCAGGTCACCTGAATTATTAGTACAACCCTTCCCTTATTTAAACCTAGCCCAGGAAATCATGGTTTATTTATTTTTGCTTATTTGTTTGTGTTTGTTTTGTTTCGTTTTCTTAAATGTAAGCCAAACCTATTTAGCAAATATGTTATAATGATATTTCTGTTTCCAAAACAGACTGAAGAATAGATGTTATAAATTCAATCTATTTTGATTTTAATCCAGCTTTCTTTGATTTTGAATCCTATTAATACTGTTTCTCAACAGTCTTGCCAACACTTGTTATTTCTTGTCTTTTGTGGTGAAAGCCGTTGTGACAGGTGAGAGGTGATAGCTCTTTGTGGGGCAGATTGTTATTTTCCTGATAATTAGTGTTTCAGCACTTTCCATGTTTTCATTGGATGGATTATTGTTTTGCTATTGAGTTGTGTAAGTTGTTTTATTTTTATATTTTATATACTAGTCCCTTTTTCAGATTATGATTTGAAAGTATTTTCTCTCTTTCAATAGGTTTCTTTTCATTTTAATTGGTTTATTTTGGTGTGCAGAACTTTGTAGTTAGATGTAGTACCACTTGATTATTTTTACATATATTTCCTTTACTTTTGGTGTCAAATCCTGACCCCCCAAAAAATTCATCACAAAGACTGATGTCAAGATGCTTTTCACCTATGTTTTACTGTGGCAGTTTTATGGTTTCAAGTCTTATGTTTCACTCCTTAACACATATTAAAGTGACTTTTGCATGTGGTTGAAGAAAGGGTCACAGGTTAATTTTTTTCATGTGCCTGTTTGTTCTTCCAGCACTATTTATTGAAGAGACTGTCCTTTCCTCATCGTGTGTCCTTGGCTCCTTTATTGTAAATTCATTAACTATATGTACATGGGTTCATTTCTATTCTCTCCATTCTCTTCCATTGATCCATGTCCATGGACTTATTTTTATGCCAGTACCATGATGTTTTGTGTACTATCTCTTTGTAATTGGAGATTATTTTTTATTATTTTGATATGAGTTATTTTATGAGTAGAAAATGGATTTTAGTAAGTGGCACAGCTGCAGGTTGTCTCCTTAGCGATACCCATGCCAGCTCACAAATGGGAGTCAGGCTCAGAGAAGGAGAGTCATTCCTCTGTGCAGATAAAGTAACTTCTAACTGCAGCCACTTTCCCCACATCTTAAATCCTGGTCATGTGAGTATTATGCTGTGTATAAAAACACAATTGAACATGAATATAGCTTACAATGGTTGTGTGATTCAGGATGTGTGGCCAATAGTGTTTTTCTAGTAAGTGTACATTCAAAAGTTTGAGATAACTGAATTAAAGCACAGAGGAATCTGTTGTCTGGAATGATGATGGGGCACATTTGGGGTGTGTTAAGTCACAAAGAAAAGGGGTGGAAGAGATTTAAAGCAGCATCTAGCTGTTAGGTGAGGTGGCTGTTAGTCATGATTGTTTGAAAAGACTGGCCCTGTTGACGTCTTGGCGAATGGTGACCACCAGGGCCCTAATGCATAAAACT